CCTCCATAAATGCACGCTATGTCTCATTCCCAACCTCGGGAATTAGAGATAAATGCACACCCTCCATACTCTGCACTGCACGGTCTTCCCCCATCCCGTTTATATAAAACCACCCTCTCTAAATGCACTCCCGTGACTTTCACATGATTTATTTGCTAAACAACTTTGTGTTACATTAATTAATTCAAACGTTATTTATATCATCTTTGTTACCTCTTTTTTAATATTAGTAATGGAATTAAGTAAACTACTGTTGCTTTAAAGGATTAAATGAATGTTTGCTAATTCTTTCTTTTTAATTGACAAAGAGTTATTAGAATAATAATGATGAATACACAAATGGAGAAATTATATATATGCGAGATTAAAAATTAAGGATTAAACAAAGGATAAAAGATCACAATTTTTTTAAAAAATTTATGTTTAATAAAAGTAACCAAAATAAAATAAGAAAATTCTAAGAACAATTAAGACAAGTTAATGCCCTTGTGCAATTTATTAATTTAAAAAAAAAAAATCAATGAAGCAAACCACAATGGAACAATTTTTAGTCAACAATAATATTAATATGTAATAATAATAGTAATTAATAATAATTTTTATTAGTATCACGTGCAACCAATAAAATTCTTCTCCTCTATAAATGCATCCCTCCATAAATGCACGCTCTCGTCCATTCCCAAGGGGGTGCACTTATGGAAGGTTCACTGTACCATTAAAAAATAAGTGTAACATCCCTTTATGACATGTGTGACCACTTTATGACAGTGTCAAAATACTTTGGGCTGCATGTATAGCTGTGACAAGGCTTGACTGTAATAATAAAAAAATTAATATTAAATGATGGTTAACTGGTTAATCATTTAATTGCAGTTAATGGTGCCAACCCCTAAGCCAGCTAAGAAATTTATCAGCTTATGCAACTTAGATGGCTTACACTAAAAAAAAATTTCTCTTAACAATAATTTTTGCATATGAAATTTTAGTGCATAATTCAGTGGCATATACATTTAGTTGAGATGGATCTTGCATTACTTAGAATGACAAAAAAATCATATGCTTGCTCATAAAACAAAATACAATCCATCATAGCAGGATAAAATCATAGATTTTCTATTTGTAATAAATACAATTCTTAATTTAATTTGAATTATTGTTATTTTTTTTACTCAAACTATTCATTCTATTTGAACTATTCGTTTTTCATTCTATTTGAATTATTCAGTTTTTGTCCTATTCAAATTATTCATCCTATTTGAATCATCCATCCTATTTGAATTATTCGTTTTATTCAAACCATTAAAGGCAAAATATTATAATAACAATAATAAATATAGAGATGCGATCCGTGGATATCCGTCATCCGTTCATCCGTCATTTATTGTTATTAGTCGTGTGACATTTCCCTGAGGCTGCTTTTCTATATGTGAAAATAAATTTGAAATTCGTGTCACATGAAGTTTTTTTAAAATATCTTGT